AGAAAATAGCTCCATCGAGGTCCATCAATTATCTACACACATATACTATATTTATATAGATTCCAAACGATATTAAAATAGTCAAGTGGTATTAAGCTGAAAAATAAAATAAGTAGTTGTAACAAGCCTTAATTAAATATAACATCAAGTCATTGTTTTATTGGTATGAGAACTTGAATTGGTCTTCTTCTTCAGACATAATGCTTGCTTTTAAATTTCCCCCGTTAGCTCATGACGATATGACGATATTTTGTTATTTGATGATATTGACTTCGGGAATCTATGACTTATAGGTAGGTAAGTAGTATAACGATGCTATTTAGTCATATCACTTGGGCGTTAGTTAGTGCTTGAGAGAATACACAGAAAGCCTTGAAAATAGCGAATTTCAAAAAAAAAAAACTATGGGTATATTTATACACATTTAAAATATAAACGGTAATATTTTTGTTTTTCGAGAAACTACCCATTGTCCTTATAACGACTAACGGTCGAAAAAAATTAAAAATTGACAAAATGGTGAAGTTTTTTTTTGGAAGTTGAAATTTACCCAAAATTTTGAAGATTTTTTGCCTGCTGAAATTCTATTTCTAAACAGATCAAAAACTGATAGGTCATTGCATCATAGCGCATTTAAAGATAAACTGATGGAGCTGCACATAAAAAAAACCCGTAATTCAAGAAATATTTTAAATTTTTTATTTAAGTTTTAGCATAGTGGTTTTGAAGTTACATACTACCGAAATATGCAAAAAAATAAAAAATTATTTAAATTAATGTCTACTATGTGTGTCCTTAGAAAAAGTAAAAGCAGCGCAAATCGGACTTAGCAACAATAGACCGACGAATTCCTAAAATTGCGCGGCTTTAAAATAAACATATGTATGTATGCATGTATGTATGATAGAGACAGCTTTGGACCACGTTGAGCAAATACCAAACCTCAATGTAGACAACTGAAAATTGAAGGCACTACAAGTCATGAACAGCGGTTGATTTCAGTAGAATTCAAACAACACCAACATTGCATTCGTAAGCGAAGAACCAACATGCTTGCCTTCCTCAAACAAATGCAAATACATATATATACATATTCACATCCACAATCAGTGAAATATACGGATATCTTCTGTATGCAAGATGCGAAAAGGATATGTAGTTTTGTACAGTAAAAAAAGTGTATGAAAAAACTCATGAATGAAATCGGGGAATATTTGGAGATTTAGACGTTTTTTGCTAATACTTTTACCGGCTATCTCCAGAAATGACAAGTTGTCTTCTTGGGCAGAAGGAAGGCGTCAGAGTTTAGGCGGCAGTGACGCGCCGCGTCTGCACTAGAAATATACATACATGGATGCGTTGCAAACGGCAGAAAAAAGTAAAAGCTACATATGTATCATATGAGATGGTAGACATGTCTGTCCACTATACTGCACGCTCACACCTTTGCAAACTCGAATTCGCGCTCGGCCACTTATAAGCGGAAAGTTCGCCAAATCTGGTTTCACTTGATATTATTGATGCTGTTTTCTTTACACAATTCAGGTTCCCGTACTCACCGTTGTTGTTGCTACATGTACACACATATAATAGTACTCGCATATTGTTGGTTGCCTTTTGTGCGCATGCGCACCTATGCCTCTTGCCAGCAGTGCCTTTTACAGCTTTGCGACTGCACCTTCATTGTTATCGTAGGCTTCATGTCTTGTTTTTTACTTTTTGCGGTCTCCTTTTATAATCTCTCATTTTACTTTTTTGGCATACTACTTCCGAAAATGTAAGGAAAAACAAAATAAAAACATTTTACTGATACATTCAAATGATCACGTTTTTTGTTTTGCTCTGTTTGAGTTGCATAAAACTTGTTTTTGACGCTCACGTTGAACATTTGTACAAAAAGTCCTTACGGAACTGTAAAGCACTGGAAACTCGTTTTCGACTAAAGTGTGTATGTTTTATTATGCTTACTTTTTGCAGCACACTACGCAAATGTGCATTATCCTTTTATTCATCCTAAGGCAGAACACATTGTGTGCATTTGCATATTAAATCCTTCAGATATTTTTTATGTTTGACTGCAATTCTTTCAACAATAAAATTGTATTTGAAATCTATTTGCTCGTCTCTGTCGAACTTTCGACACATGTCTTCCTCCAGTAGAGATAGTATTGACACCCATATAAAATATCGAAATTGGCAACTTCAAAATTAATTTTTTTTAGGTTTTCTAATATTAATACACAGGTATACAGGTACGTACATACATACATATGTGCATATCTATGTATATAAATAGGAGTCAGAGACTAGCTGAAGAAACAAAATAAATTTTGTTTTTTTTTTTTGAAGTCAACTAATGTGAGTGTATTATGTAACAATATCAATATTTGCATTGACTTCATTGAAAGTTATACTGCGTCTAGCAATTATATACAAAACGACATAATCCTTATATTTTTATAGCTGCAGTAGAATGGCAATAATTTTCAAGACAAATTGCTAGCTTGTCGCACTCAACAAATCATCACAAAGACGCTTAACTTTGCTGGTTCAAATACACAGTTATTTGTACGGTTCACAGAAAAGGCGAAATTTTATGAAATAAGAACCCACACAATGTTGACAATTTTTTGCTTGCAATTTATCACTTTGCTTAGTGCATACATATGCACATATGTATGTATGTGTGTATATATATAACCTATGGTAAAATTTGGCAGGACCTAACAAGAAAACTAGTTATATATTTGTCTTTTGTTGACGATTCTCCAACTTAGAGAAATGTAAGTTTTTTTCACTTTTTTTCTATTAAAAAATATTTTGTATGACTTAGCTTGCATAACGGCACAAATTTATTTCCTAGCACACTCCTGTTGAAGTAGCTGTATTTATTGCTGGGTGTGCGCTTTTACGAAAGTGCAAATTGCATTATATGAACACACATTTATAATATTTCCTATTCAATGTCACATGCGTGTTTTTTGTTAGTGTAAAAGGCGGGAAATAAATGTGAATTGCTTGACACTGCAACGCCTTCACCATAACGCATGTCTCCATGTGATAGAATGACTCTATAGCAGCTGCAGCAACAACCGCAAGCAAAGGCTTAACAGCAGGAAACGACAATGAGGGCGGACATTCTTGAAAAGCATTTCCACACTTCAGTTTGGCCTACAAAAGGAATGTTATGTAATAATGTGTAGAAGGAAAAGTTTATGCTGGACCAAAATGAAATGAAATTTATTGTGCGAACAGTACAAAATACAGTGGTAGTTCATTGAAATAGAAACACTTTAATTTATACTTTCAAGTTATAACGCTGAATGTCTTCCCATGTCATTAACCATTCGGAGGCCACTTAAAATTTAATGAATTTTACGGCTTCTATTTCATTGCTCACCAGCTGTAGGTGGTCATATAAAGACACTTTCACACTCACGTTAACGTAATAACATACTTAAACGAAGTGGCATGCGGCATCGGGTTGCATTTGAACGTCTATTCTATTGTTCAAGTACAATGCTGCTCGAGCTTTTGGCTTAAGCGCTCGTTCGCTTGCCAAAGTGAAAATATTTAATGAACAGGGCTTTATATGTAGATGGTATCAAGGTCACATGCCGACACTTAATATTTATGATAAAGGAGTGAACAATTTGGCATGGAATTCCTGAAATTGAAAGTGAAATGTAGAACAGTGAGCGGCTAAAAAAAAGTATACGCAAAAGCGTTTTCAATGTCGCCATTTCGGGTGTTATTAGCCCGACAAAAGTGTCAATATCAATTGACGGAGATTTGCAATTTTTTGAAATTGATTCAGTGATTTGAAAGGATCCAGGCACGTACATATATACGTACTATTACAATAAAATTTTATGTGTGCTGCTTTGTGAGCAAAATCTGCTAAAAGGCTTCAAATGTCTGTGGTCACTTTATTGTGCACACCCATTTCTAGTAATCGTCGTTGATTTTAATTTGTTTTCGGCTTATGGTAGTAATTGATAGTTCGGTCATGTTATAAATTCAGAAAGTGTGGTTCCAAACACAATGACATAATGCTTTGAGAAGATTTAAAAGGTTAAAACGTCTTCTGTAATCAAATTTAAGATTATTTTACTGCCAAGTTGTTTAAATTAAATTTCGTTATCTTAGGTCCTACCGAAAATGAATTGGATACCCAAGCGAAATTATTTCAAATGTGAGAAACTAAATCGCCACACTTTCACTAACTTATTACGACCAATTAACAGTAAACGGGCCTAATCGAAACTCTACTCTGCCAAAAATGTCTGAAAACTGCATCTCATGAGATAAATACGTCATTAGTAATATTTCTATTGATAAGTTGACTATTTTTATTTACTTTATATTTTTATTTACTCAGCGAGCGCGAGGCTTTGCCCTCATTTTTGCTTTCTTGAGTGAGCTTGAGCCACAGTCTACTTTTCATGGGAACTTATTTAATGTCTTTGTTTATATTTCAAATATCGGATACTCATTACTTTTGGCATACATTACATTCAGAAAGTTTCCGGAAATTGTTTTTTTTTTTTTTTTTTTGTTGATATTCGCGGTTTGGTCAGACGGTCAATAAAGTATATTATTTGAGCATTTTGAGGCGTGGGCCAACAATTCATGTATTTTTCATGACGATAATGCGCCATCGCACGGAGCTGTAGTTGTGAATGATTTGATTGAAATTTGATTTTGAAAATTTGAATTTTTGAAAATTAATTTCAATTTTATATATAAATTTTTCGTTTTATTTACAATATCCGGAAACATTCTGGCCTTAATAAGTGGTCTTATAAATTGAGAGAGTTTAAACTTTTAGATCCCGACATAATCTTCTAATTTTATCTGCTGTTAGGAAAAAAATAGCGCACAAATATTTTGGCAAAGAAATATTTTTTAGGCATTCTGTTCTCGTGTTATTGTATCAAATATTGTCTCATAAATACAAATCGTTTATTGTTTATATATCTTACCATTAATCTTTGCAGTTTAAACGGGTCATGAGACAAACTCAAATAAATACAAGTACTACACACATTTGTTCCATTATTAATTGCTCTAGCTAATGAAATTTCCATAAAGCTGTCAAAATGACGTAGTACTGTGTGTCCGATAAATAATCGTAAAATTATGCCAATTTGGATCGATTCTGAATAATAATAACTATACAATATTGTCCGAATGAGACTGTGATAGTGGTAATAAAATATACTTGAGACTGCAATTGCAAATAACAGCAGCAACAAAATGCAGTCGGAGCGAAAACAGCAAATTGCACTTGTTGCCTCCATTTCTCTGATATTTATGCTCAATTTGTTGCTGACGACAGCAGCGGCCAAAGAGAATATACCAACCGCGAGCATATACGCAAATGATGATTTGCGAGATGAATATAAAACATATGAGCAATATAGCCAACAAAATCGGAAACATCAGCACCATCAACAGCAGCGGAGACAGCAGCACAAGCATCGCCGACATGAGTTGCATGAACGCGAAAAACGTGAAGGTAGCCAGTTGGAGCAGACATATGATGGACCAGACAGGTCGAATCAGCATCGTACACATCAACACCAGCAGCAACAGCATACGCAGCCTCATCATCAACAACAGCAGCACTCTCGTCAACATCGTCAGCATCGCGGCCACACACAAAATCCCGCAGTTGGTGGATATGCTGCAAGTTACCTCAGCGGTAGCGGTAATTATCCTGCGTCGTTCTCATCCGATGCTTCGTCCTCTGCGTACTACAAACGCTACTCACGTGACTCACGTGATTCGTCGGCTTTTCCGGCACGTGAGCGTAAGCCAAATATTATTCTAATACTCACCGATGACCAGGACGTCGAGTTGGGTTCTTTGAATTTTATGCCGCGTACACTACGTTGGTTACGAGATGGCGGCACTGAGTTCCGGCACGCTTACACCACTACGCCAATGTGCTGTCCGGCGCGGTCATCATTGCTAACCGGCATGTACGTGCATAATCACATGGTCTTCACCAACAACGACAACTGCTCGAGCCCACAATGGCAGGCCACGCACGAAACTCGCTCCTTCGCCACATATCTCTCGAATGCGGGCTATCGCACTGGGTACTTTGGCAAGTATCTGAACAAGTACAACGGATCGTACATCCCACCAGGTTGGCGGGAATGGGGTGGTCTCATTATGAACTCGAAATATTATAATTACAGCATCAATATGAATGGGCAGAAGATCAAGCATGGATTCGAGTATTCAAAGGTATATTTAATTATTAAGTTAAACACGTGGTACACTTTCCATATGGTTCGGGTAACATTTGTACTTGTTAAACCGCTGACTTCAATATCTATTAATTGCCTCAGCCAAACTCTTCAAGTGTCGAGGATCGCAAGACCAATACAATAATTACTTGAAAATTGATATTGTCAAACGACTAAACCATTTTTATTAGTTTTCGTTACTTTATGAGGTTCTGTTAACAAAATTTTCATTTCTCACAGGACTATTATCCAGATTTGATAGCAAATGACTCAATCGCATTTTTACGATCATCGAAACAGCAAAACCAAAGAAAACCTGTGATGTTGACTATGAGTTTCCCAGCGCCGCATGGTCCCGAAGACTCAGCGCCACAGTATAGTCATCTCTTCTTCAATGTAACGACACATCAGTGAGTTCACTTATTCCTAATAGATATATGTATATACGTATTCCTGAAATTAATTAAGTATAATTATACAAATAGCACACCATCTTATGACCACGCGCCCAATCCAGACAAACAATGGATACTGCGCGTTACTCAACCGATGGAACCAGTTCATAAACGCTTCACGAATCTATTGATGACAAAGCGACTACAAACTTTACAGAGTGTAGATGTTGCTGTTGAACGTGTCTGCAATGAGCTTAAAGCTTTAGGTGAACTTGATAATACATATATTATCTATACATCCGACCATGGCTATCATTTGGGTCAGTTCGGATTGATAAAGGGCAAAAGCTTCCCATTCGAGTTTGACGTACGTGTACCTTTCCTAATACGAGGACCAGGTATACAGCCAGCAAGAGTGTAAGTTTTAATAAACGAACTTGCGGTTATTCATATACTTATCACACCTTTACGCAGTGTGGACGAAGTCGTCTTGAATGTCGACTTAGCCCCCACTTTCTTAGATATTGGTGGTGTTTCAACGCCCCAGCATATGGATGGACGCAGCATCTTACCACTATTATTCAGTCGGCAGCGTAATGTACGCGAACAGTGGCCAGATACATTTTTAATTGAGAGTTCCGGGCGGCGTGAGACACCCGAACAAATCGCAGAATCTCGTTTACGGCTGCAAGCCGATCGGCAAAATATGCGACTAGCGAATAGTACTTTTATAAACGAGTCACCGTTCAATGACAATACAACAGCAAGCTCGTTAATAGATCTTATAGATTTGGAATCACGTGAAGAGCCCGAATTCGAAGAAGACGTGGATTCAGAAACTGCAAGAGGTAATTAGAAATACCTAGCGTATATTTTATATTATTTGCAATTATTGATTATTACAGAAGGGAGAATGGGCACGGAAATAAAAGATGATGCTGAAGATGATTTGGACACAGATACTGAGGATGATGTTTCTTCAGGTGTTTTAGATGAAGATATAGAAGATGATGCAGAAGAGGAAACAACACAGGAAGAAGGTTTAGAGCAGGAACAGCAGGATCAGTTCGATAATAATCTACCAATGGCGCCATATATGACGAAAATGATGCGCTTGAATTCCGAATGCTCTGATCCGGCCTTGTTGGAAAATTGTCGCCCGGGACAGAAGTGGAAATGTGTAAATGAGGATGGTCGCTGGCGGAAACACAAGTGTAAATTTCATGTGAGTGACAATAATATTTTAGTTTTTGTACTTTATGGATTAACTGTCTACATAAATTTCTGTTCAGTCAATTATCTAATATTTTTGTAATCAACTTTAAATAGTTTATTATTATGAACTGATTTGTCATACTTTAGTTACAGCTTCAGCATCATCTCGAAGAAATATCTAAATTTTCAAAGAAGGACACTAAACGCAATTGTGCTTGCTTTACTCCCGAAGGTGTTGTTTATACGAAAATCAAAACGAACCGTAATTATTTCGAAGGCGATCGTATTCGAAAAAGGTAAAGTTTCATACGTACCTAAACTGACTACTTACTTTAATCCCTTACTTTTGAAAAAATAGTTGAGAAAATTATTTATGTACAGAATTTGGAAATTCTATAGTAGATATTTCGAATAACATAATTTTTATTCTTATCTGTACACAGAACTCAAAATCAGTCAAAATTTTCACGCCGTAACAAACGCTCATTAGATGTACACTCCGATTTGAATGAAGTGTTCCATACAGAGCTGCCATACGAGATGGAAGAATTGCTCGATTTACAAGACACACTTTCGACTGTGGAAGAGCATTTGACGAAATCGAAGCGTATCAAACGGGAGTTGATGTCCAGTTTCTTCGAAACACCTTCTTCGGTCAGTGGCGCCGTAAATGGTGGTGAAGGTGGAAAAGTGGGTCACAACTCATCGAACGATGCGATCTCCAAAGTTATACAGGAAATACAAAACACACTCGAAACACTGGAATTGAAATTTATCGCGCCGAATGACTCACAGCAACCTAATTCTACAACTACATTGTCGGCATCTGGCTTCGTACGCAGTGGTAAGTTTCCCAAGGTGGGGGGTCGTGTTGGCACACGTTGTTACATTGAGTCGCAAACGGGTAAGGTCAACTGCTCCGATGTTATTTACGATGACGAAAAGACGTGGCGTAAGTCTCGTAATCAAATTGATATGCTAATCAAAGTGCTCAAGGACAAAATAACACATCTGAAGGATATTAAGAAGCAGATGCGCGAGAACAAGCAACAACAACAGGGCCAGCAGCAACAGCAACAATTGCACTACAATTCAGGAAGGTATTGGGACAGAGACTATGTGCCACGCACAAGTGGTAGTAGTGTGAACAGACATAGAGTAGAAGATCAAGAGCATGGTGAGGAGCTGCCTTACAATATATCAGATTACTTGGGGCGAAGGCAGAAAGCACGTCGTCGCAATGGTGGCGGTGGTGGTGGTGGTGTTCACAATAACAATTTTGTGTATCAGCGTGGTGGCTTCAATCACCGTACATACCAGCGACAACATTTGCCTGTCGGCAGTAGCCGACGACGCTTCGATAAACCATTAGAAGGACGCGAATTCGATATGAATTATTTTGCACAAGAACAAATTGGTGTGGCAAATACATACAGCAATGATATAAACAGTGATAATGGAAGTGGAGGTGGCACGAATGGCTATAGTAGTAAGAATCCTTTTGGCAAAAGTCGCTTTCAGGGTCGCAATAACAGTCAAAATGGCGGTCACACACAAACACAGCGACGACGTCGCCCTCAAACACCAAATGTAACGGTACCGCAAACAGTGCACACATCATCGACATCATCGTCGACCACGCGACCAACAACCATGCGAACAATGAACGGCATGCGAACTACAACCACCACCACTCGAATGTTGACAACCAAAGACCGAGATTCAATTGTGAACACTACAGCAATTAATTCCAAAACAGCCATAAATGATGTTGCCACAACAACATCCACTACAATGATACGCTTGCAGTGGTCCACAACAAATTCACCGTCAGATGTCAATGTCAATTCCAGTAGCAGTGAGGGTAAGTAAGCTCGTTGCATTTATAATCAATTTTGTTTGCTGTGGTTCCTTTGACTTATTTTACTTGTGCAGCTACCACTAAAGAACCACATGGCATCGAACAATCGCTTAGCAATGCTGGTCAAAAGGAAATGTTCACGGGCTTGGGCAACGCACATAATGCTGACCCATTTCAGCAACAAAAAGGCCAACCAGCTGAATGCTATTGCGAACCGGACACAGGGAGGTTCGTAAAATTCAGTTATAAATACATTTTAAAATAAACAATTTTATAGAATATCAATTCCTCATTATAGCTATGCGGATTCAAAGGAAATTGCTCGTGAGGCACGTCGTAAGCTAAAGGAAGAGCGTCAGCGCAAAAAGGAACGCAAGCGTATTAAGAAGGCACGTCTGGAGAAGGAATGTCTTTCGGAGAAAATGAACTGTTTCTCACATGATAATATGCATTGGCGTACGGCGCCGCTTTGGAATGATAGTCCTTTCTGCTTCTGTATGAATGCCAACAATAATACTTATTCATGTGTGCGCACTATAAATGCAACACACAATTATTTATACTGTGAATTCACGACTGGACTGATAACATTTTACAATTTAAAAATTGGTGAGTTATAAGTGTTGCATCACTTACATAACGAAATATTATGGTTGCCATAAAGCTTTACTTTAGTCGGGTGAGCAAATAGAGCATAAAAAAAAGTTTGAGATATAAGAAAATTCAAAATGTTTCAAATTATTTTACAGAATAATAAAACGATTTTTGTTAAAAGCATTTAAGTTGTCGGCGAAGCGCTCGGATTATTTAGAGTTTTGTAAATTGTAACTGTATCAAACTCACGAATCAATGCAATATCAAAGCAAAAAATGCGAATATTTCAAAAATGCATAGTTGCCTGCATAATGCACTATTTTGAACTATCGTACATTTTCTTAACAATATTAAAATATTATTTCATAATGTCATATTTGTTTTCACTACGCATCGTTTTAGATCCCTTTGAAACCCAAAATCGAGCATCAACCCTAACAAGCGAAGAGAAATCGTATATGCATGATACTTTGGAGAAGCTGAAGGGCTGTCGAGGAAAGGGCTGTACAATCAAACGGCATCAGATTCAGCATCATCAACAACAAAACGAAAGTGCAGTGCGCTCACTGCAAAGGGGCACCAAACGAAAACAAGGTTAGTACATGCTTAGATGTATATAGCTAAATGTCCATCTGTCCGTCTATTTGCGAACTAGTCTTTGAGTTTTTGAGATCGATCTTTCGAATTTAGCATATCACCGTTTCTCACCAAAATGCTGGTCGTTTGTCGGAGTGGCCGATATTGCCATACAAACTGAACAATCGGCATCAAGTTCTTGCATGGAACGAAGTTTGAAACGGATCATTATCTAAGGCAATAATGGCGCCTTCCAGGAAATTGTTCAGATCGGATGATTATAGCATATTGCTGTCATACAAGCTGAACGATCGGAATCAAGTTCTTCTAAGGAACCTTGTGTATTTGTGAAGGGTATTATAGCTTCGATGCAACTGAAGTTAACGTTTTTTTTTGTTGTTTAATAAGATGTAATCCCACCAACGCTTTGAGTTTCTAGTTTTTTAATTTATCTTGTAATTAATTCAAAACAATTTTAAATTACACACATTAATTTGTATTTCAGGTCTTGCACAAAGCGCTTCAGGTGTCAGTTCATTTATTTCCAGTCGCCTAGACTATGATGAGCCGCTGGCCAAGCGAAGAAAACTATCAAAGTGAGTACCGTAAACTCATATCTATTAATGAAAATGAGAAAAAATGCAATGAAATTGAATTAACTTCCTAAACAGGTGGTCGACGCATACAAATTTGAAGCGTAAACCATGGAAACAACAACATCACTACCATCGGCAACAACAACAGGAGCTCTACTATCGACAACAACATTTGCGACACCATAGCAGCAACGCTGAAGGCGAAGCAGAAGCCGGCACGAGCGAGGCGATTGATGCAATGGAGCAAGTGAAAAGTTTGCGGCGAAATCGTTTCCACCAAGAAGTAAATAGTTCAACTGTGCAACAACGACAACAGCAGCAAGAGCAGCAAGAGCAAAACGAAAAGAGTTTGCTAAGTAAAAGCAACAAAAGTGATGACTTGGAGCGAAAATTTATTGCAAACGAAAAAGCAACAACATCAGCCAATCCAGAGTTAGGGGAAGAGCAAACTTTTACCAAAGTTTTAGATGTAAATGATACTAACATGACAGCAACAGCAACAACGGTATCAACAGTGGCGACAACAACAACCACAACCATACTCACAGCAGCAATATAAATTATAAAAGCAAACATGCAGCATTTGAGCATATCTTTCGCATATCATTAAACAACACACACCAATATAATATGTTCATTTATTGAATTACTTATGTTGTGCGCTCAAAAGCAAATGAAGCTATTTTATATTATATTCGCAACTCCACACTTACATTTACATATGTTTATATATGGATGTAATTACACGCCAGCGAGTCACGGCTACCGAAATTCCAATATACTGAGAGAATTTGCGCGTTAACTAACACATACACAACGTGCAACTCATAAAGTGTTTGCGTAAGAAAGGGAAGAACGAACCCACGTACACTAGAGTTTCTGTTAGAATTGTCGATTGGGCCTTAAAAAACTCAAAGAAACTTTGGCAGAAATCTCTGGTAGCGCTGTCGGTGATTTAACCGCTATGTGGCTTGCAGGCTCATATTTGCAGACGCAATCAAACTTACACAAAAGTGATCAAAATATGCCGCATATAACTTTATTATTATGCATATACATTTAAACTAATGCAACATTCGCGGCTTTTTTCATTTTTCATGTATACCCAGTCCTTTTTTTTTGTATTTAAACCAATAAATAACAAAAAATTTGTAAATTTATACAAATATAAAAATATTTATAATATTCAGGCTTATAAGCAGGCTATTTAGATATTTATTTTCGAATAGTTATATAAAAGCAGTTGCGCTACACTTGAAATAGCCAATGCAGAAAATTAAAGTGATGTTAAGTGAATAATAAAAATTTCAAGTAATTATACAAATAAAAATTCATGAATTATATGTGCATGTGCATATACGTACGTATATCTGCAAATGTATAACTCATAGTTTTTGTTTTCTTAATAAGACTGTTTTAGTAGATTAACATTATAACTAAGCAACAGATATTGCCACAAACTAAACTAATTGTATGTTAAATGTTTGCAACTTATCTGCAGAAATACATACATATGTATTTATATGACTGGCTAGATGTTTGACATTGACTAATCGTATTGTTAATGTTAAAAATAGTAAACTTAAAAATATTTTAAGTTAAAAGCTAATAAAAAGAAGCAACAAATTTACCAAAAACAAGTTAAATTGCAATATAATAAATATGTTAAAAGCATAAGCTTATGCGCATTTAGACACTCACTTGACACGTAACACACAAGCTTGTGCATTTACCCGAAGAAAATAATTCGATTTGAGCTTGTAAGTAACCTAGAAAAATAATGCATAAATTGTAAACTAACAACTATATAATGTACATATATACAATACATATTTATACATATATTTCCTTTTTGAAATTATCGTTTATGAATTTTTGTAAGCTAACATTATGATAATTGTTCATTATTTCTGTCTTTATCAACACAACAAAACTTGTTTTGTAAATTGTAAATGTTTTCTTAAAAGTTTAACGCAATACTCTTTAATTATCATCTCTAATGCAAAATATAAGTCTTTATTCTTCTTATTCTTATATTCTGGTGTAGAATTTCAAAAAAATCGTTTTTTTTCATATTTTCAAAGTTTAACTATTTATATATATATATATACAGATATGTGTACGAGAGGATTTTTAAAAATTTAAATTATTTTCGGAGATATAGACATTTTAATGACCTGGTCTCCAAACTGGTTCGGCTGGGTCTAATCGAACAAAAGACTTAACGTGCAACTTCAAATGCGTTTTTCGTAGTTCATACAATTGCGACATGATTGCAGATTGATAATCTTCTTGTTTTCATTTCAGCTGACTAGGAGGGTAGAAATCGCGGGTATGCTTATGTGCCAATTTTTTGAGACCCCCAACTTCATCAGCTGCCAGTTTTTCAAATTTTTAACTTTTTTTTTAAATTTTTTCTGTACTCTTGTAACATTAATAAATAACTGATAAAAAAGTCGATATTAAAAAGATTGATTGCATTTTTTTTACGACACTTTAAAAATTACCTAAAATTCATGTGTCTAGACTAGAATACCTCCTTAAGATAGTCAATCAGTAAAAGTATTCTACTAACTTTGGCGAATTACGATGTTGTAACAAAATTTAAAAGTTGAGGAAGCAAGAAATCAGAAAGCTTAAATCATAAAAGAAAATTACGTTAACCGCTTGTTGTATAGGAATTTATTCGTTTTTTTAAAAATCTTATCTAAAATCATCTTTCTTTAATCAGTTAATGTACCTAAAAAATAAATATATAATAAATATATAAATATATATTTAAAAAATAAATATACTTGTACAATGAAAGGTTGAATCGGTTACTTATTTTGCTCCAGCTATATTTGTTGTACTAAAATCAGTGATTAATATATACATATTAAATTTATTCATTATGCTATTTGTATTCCGGCATGCCGGTTCTCAGCATAATTCAAAATTGTAATTTCTTTTTTTTTATACTCTCGCAACATGTTGCTACAGAGTATATTAGTTTTTTTATTACTGCGATTGCGCCTGACTTTTTATTTGTATTCTTTTACATTAAATTTTATTTTATTTTTAAATTATAATTCACCTTTATTGCCACCTGCCTATTATTCTTATATTTAATCTATTCCTTTTATAAATACATAAAAAACAAAATAACAAAAAAAAATATGTCACTAATTAATGTAATTGGAATTGTACTCATATAAATAGTCTGCCATAGTACAGCATTGATAAATTATTTATATAAGAGCTTATATATACATAAATATATTATTAAATGTAGCAAAATATTTATAGTAAACAAATCTAATACTAAATATGTGCGACACACAATATGAAATTAATAAAAGTTAAATAAATACAACAAATTAATTAAGTTCATTGTTTTTCCTTGGTCAAACGAAAAAGTTTTGCTGTTTGGCATTTTTGCATTGTGTGTTAAATTTGCGTGAAAGTGCTTACAATTAATGTCTGTTTAGTTCTAACATTACCATAATTTAAAATATGTAAATTCACTTAAAATTTTGAAACTGATATTGGAATGTACGATCTAACGGCATACTAACCTAATTTTTTTAATTTTTCCAATTATGACAAGTTTCTAGTAATATAATTGACACTTTTATAAATGTTGGTACTTAAATAAAGCAGTAAATCAAATTAAAAGAGGAAGTAAATTGTAGCAAATACTATCGACTTGGCGCTCCAGAAGCAGTTTAAAATTTTTTTCCGTATTTTTAAGGAGAATGGAGGTATACTATAGAATGAAACATTTTTTTTATTCTCTTCTCTTAAATACAGTGGTTCTTTACAAAAAACTAAGAAAGACAGCAGCAAAAAATGCTTCTCGGTAACTTTTATATTCATGGCTACTGATTCCGTATTGTTATATTTTTGATGTATTAATTTTGATTTTGTAAATTTACCAACTTATCAAGTCTAATAGTAATGGCAAAAACTATTAATTTGGCCATAAAAACTGCGGTTAAGCGTAATTCAAAAATACTTTCCTGTGGATAATTTACAACCCAGTCGCATGTCTACTAGCCTGATTGCAGTATCGCCTGAGCAACAGTGCACAAATATTTGCATTATTACATCACACCTGACTGCTGGGCAAGATCTCAAGATGAGTGGCCTATTGTACTATAAAACTTCTTCAGTATGAATTCGTTGAATATTTTAAAAAATAATATGTATACTTTATTTTTTATTTACAAACGATGTCTTACTAGGGCCAACAAAGTAAATAGGCTATAAATACAACAAATAAATATGTATATTATATCATCTAATTCATATTTTAATCACCGTGTCTGTGCTTACATTTTTATCAGCACTGTAATGTTGCCTCAAATATACATATGAATTGATGTGAAGTAGCTGATGTATGCTGAGAGCGTGTAACACTGAGTCGTCTGCTTATAAATAGTTGCAACGCGAGACAAATGTTTATGTGAGCTGCCAAAAGCTTACACGCATGCCCAGAGAGTGCTAGAGACAAAAACAAGTAACAACAAGTATAAAGTACATAAGTATATTTAGCTTTCGAGATAAGTTCGAGTAGTTTCACCAGTGAACATACAATAAGTTAGTATGTGTTGTATGTTCTCTGGTTTCACAGTTAAAACAACGTGAATTGGAGCAGAGAACTCAAGTTGCATTAAGCGGATTCAATCGGAAAGCATATTCAATGCTCTAACAAAGAAAATGTTGATTTAATAATATTGTATAATTTACAATAAAAGTTGTTTTCATTTTGGCATATGGGTTTGACAGTTCATTACATGAAAAAATAAAAATTTTCTATACTAAAAGAGCAAAGCTAAGAAGAGTTCAATGAACAATTTTGATGACTTTAAATAGGCTTTTAACATAACGTGTTTGCTGAGTTTTCTGTGGCTGTGATTATACGAAAAAGCACCATCGATTTGAAGACTCTGTAAGATCTGGCTAATGTGCGTAAGTGTGTATGAATATTTTGTTGGCCAACAGCTGAGTGCCATCACACTTTCTCCAAGAGAATTCGTGCAGCTGACTTGAATGGAGTTGCGTCGCTATGTGCCAATTGAATTTGTTTAGCGCTTTTATCGAAATTTTGTACCTACAACTCCAGGCTTGTTCGGCGTTTCATGACAACACGTTTACCGGCAGGTGACTTGTAAACAAGGTGACTTGTTTACATACAACAGTGTTGTTTTTATATACATACATACATATATGTATATCTTTTTGTGTATTATCAATTAACATGTTCGCATGGCCAATGGCATAATTCGACATTTGAGCAACGATAGTAGTGTCTCAGTGCCCTTACTAGCTTCTAAGCACTCAACAATTAACTGCATGCTTTTTGAGTGATTATGAATCAGTTTTCATGTGAACATTTCAAATCATTTTGATTTTTATAGCCAAAGTGGAAGCAATGATTGGTGCTAGCGTGAATAAATTTAGTGAATCTGTCAGTGGTGCTAAAACAGCTGAAAGTAGTGACTCAGAATATACCGAAGCACAGGCATATCTGGATCATTTGCTGCAGAATGGTGCACTTGAAGGAGATAGTGGCGCGCCAATGGAAATGCCAGCGTGGTACGATGAAGCTCTGTTCAGAAAGTAAGTAGATACGAATATGTAAACATACATACATACATATGTATGTAAATATGTTATACATGTAATTTTATGTGGGAATACATACATACATACAAAAACATTCAAATTTAATAATGTAATTATGCTGCTTTGAAAATTCCTATGTCTGAACATTTCATTGTGGTAGTTTTAAGCCAATAAATGATGCGTGATGTGTTTTTGTATTTATATTTTTATATAGACACATATGTGTATATACTGATGATTTCACTGTAACATTTTTCGCGCTTGACTTCATTTTTGAACAATCGGATTTTTCTGATATTTTTTAAATAATTCGTTTCGCCTTTTAAATGAAGTTAAAAATATATTTCGTGCTTTGGTGGCTCATTTTAATTACAAGACATTGCTCAAGCGCACAAAAAAATTTCTTCTTTTATTTTTTTTGCTGTAAAAAATTAAATATTTTATTCTATTATATTTTTTTTATTATTTCGAAGATACATATTTACAAAAGATTTTGTGAAATTTTCAAAGGAAAATAAACAAAACTCGGTCATTACGATGTCATTTCCGACAGTCCCTCGGAAAAAAGGTGCTTCCGCGTTGACAGCAGAACTTCTGACAGGAAAATCAAAAGTAAAAAAAAAAGACGTGTTAGAACTAAGACCATTAACTAGGTATTGGATGGAGAAAAAAATAAATAAAGTGAAAATTGTATTTTTGGCAGACGTTTTTACAAAAACATGCAAATCTTGGTGAAAATTTCTCGACGTTTTTTTGTTTTTAATAATTGTAATTGAAAGTAGATAATTGTTATTGAATTCAAGACCTTGTAAAGTTATCTTGAAGACCTGTGTAACATTTCATTAAGATCGGTTGAGTAGTTCGACAGAAATCTTGACAACCGACTTTGAAACACAGTTTCGAGAAAAAAGAGTTTGAAGTTTTAAGGGACTATATAGCTGACATCGAGCGCGCAAATTTTCAAGGCTGTACCTCCAAAACTATTACTGAGATCTACTTGAGGATTTAGGACAATATTCTAGAGATGTTATAGAATTAAATAAGACAATAATTTTTTTGTTTGTTTTTTGAAGCCGTGAAACCCATGTAACCCCTTAAAACGCTTTACCGAGCGGCATTTTTGTAAGGTATCAGCTTTTCAGGAACAAAATAATATGCATACATATTTAGATATATTTATTGGTATACTAACAAATATAAGTATTAATAGTTGTTTGAAATTTTTCATAAAGTTAACTGTAACATGTTTTATTTGACTTTTGTTATATATGCGCCGATAAATACATAAGTAAAAAGCTTAGAAGTTTTGTTGCAATTTAGATAATAATTCATTTATGTTCGTTAATAACATTAAATGAAAATGACACGCAAATACTTATTCAATTGAGATCGAGTGTGTGCGAGTAAAAAACTGCAATGCATTGGTCATCTAGTGATGTGGACCCCGAAATTAAATCCCGAAATTGGTTTTGAAAATAATTTCCTAAAATTTAGAAATTTACACAAGGCAATATAAGCAAATTTGAACCGGACTGACAAAAAACTACATATTCATCCATTTTAATACAAATCTTTATTAACGCCTTTCAATTTTATATACACTTGTTTTAAACTTCAGCTGTAACGTCGTTTTTGCAAAAGATTCAGGTCTTTTGGTATTAGTCTAGCATTAACACGCCACATAACCAAAACATTAACCGAAATGTGTTGAGTCGTTCCAAAAGAGGTGTGGGGATGCTCTGCTATCTCTCTGATGCCAACATGACGGTTTTCATGTTACTGTCATTAAGAGTGTTGGATGGACGACTCGTATTTCAAGCGTACTCGTTGCTCAGTTCATTTTCGCATAGTAAAAATCGCTAGACAAAGTTTTCGCTTCGTAAGCAGACAGCTGCCAAACACACACTAAATGACACAATCTAGGAAAAAAAATGTATCCTTTCAGTTTGCGCGCGCAGTTTTAATGAACTAATCCGTATCAAATTGGATCGGTTAGTCTACATATATTTTATATAAATATGTATTTCAATCTTCTAAAAAATTTTGGAGAAAAACCTAACAGCATATGCCGACTTAAAGTCTTACCGCATCGTTTTAACCATCTTAAACAAGGCGTTTTCATATGCCGTTCTACTTTTGAATAGTAAATTTTTATGCTGATAAATTAATAATAATATACACTACTCATTCAACAGCGTTATTTTTTCTTATACAGGGGTCAATCTTTTAAAAAAAAATATCGTTTCCTCATCACCGCTGGCATGTTTTACGGTCTGGTGGCAGTTCTCGCAATACCGTCCATATTGCGCGTGCTCATGTGTACACGTCAATCGTCCACCTGTTTAACGGCTTTTCGACGCTATATGCGCACAATTTTGCACACGAATGCATGGTACGAACATCCAGTGTCAGCAAACTCAAAATTCTGGACTGGTTTACGCGCTGTACGCAAAGCGCATTCCAAGTCGAGTCGCGCGTGCAGTAAACTTGGCGCCGGACAAATTACGCAAAAGGATCTGGCATTAACACAGTTCGGTTTTATCGGTTATGCCACTTTAGGCGCACCACGCGTACAACTATACGATGAGGAGTATCTGGAAAGTACGACACATATGTGGCGTGTACTCGGTTATCTGCTTGGCATTAAGGATGAATATAACCTGTGTGGTTGTAATTGGGCGGAGACGAAGCGCCGTCTCGATATTGTGATGCGACGTGTATATCAACCGGCTTTAGAAAACACTAGTGAAGATTTTGAGAACATGACAAAGGCGTTGGTGGAAGGATTATGGCCATTTAACACAACATTGTCTACAGGATCAGTATTATATTTCACCAAGCGACTGACTTATATAAAAGGATATGAATACTATAGCTTTGACCATCTTCCTGGCGAGACCATTGATCCGAAGCAGAAACTCTATTACTACGATTTGGGCTGGTATGATCGTTTACTCGTCGCATATGGTCTCTTCATAGTGACTTACTTACACAAGTATAGCATTGTTCGTTGTTATCTCAATTTCCGTGTCTGGCTGAATGAACTGATATTCTACTACTTGCCATACGTAGCGATCTGGAAGTATGGTTTAAAAAACGCATACGTTCGTATTTTTACAAAGGATGGGCGAGACAATGAGTTCGAGTTTCATTTGAAAGCCGACTAAATAAGTATTTAGCGTTTTGTAACAAAAATGTGTATTGATTTTCATTATAAATAGTTTTTAATTGTTTTTTACTTCTTAAATAATAATCGTGCAACGTAAATATAAAACAAGTCGCATTATTTTAGAAAATTCTTTAATCTCAGATATCTCAGTTTTATTTGAAAGTTCATGTTTAAAGTACAGAATATGATGTTGTACCATAGCCCAAAGAGAGCATTTGCTGGTCAATCCAGTCTCGCGCCGTCGACACGCTAGCGTACACAGCGGGCACATCATCATTACAGCCAATACCCCAAGACACAATACCATCCTGTTCGTAACGATTCTCCGCTGACAAACCAATCGGACACACAAGCGGAGCACCACCATCACCTTGACATGTGTCAATACCGCGCTCACCGCCAGCACAAATGAACGAGCGATTCAAAACGAATTTCGGCCCCAAACGTGTACCGCGGAGACGTGTTTGGCAACTGCCGAAATCTACAATGGGTAGTGGTACCCGTTTCATTATAGCGCTAAAACGTCCAGCTTCACCGAAGACATCTTTACCCCAGCCATTGGCGAAACATTGGACGTTGGCTAGTGGCGCGGCGTTTTGGCCGGGTAAACATACCACATTAATGTGATCGGCCAATACAACTGCTTGAGTAAGTACAACCAATGCAAAATTATTGGCAACATTGCGATAATTATAATTAGGATGTGTAATGATCCGTTGCACGTTGCGTTCCTGATAGGGCAGACGTTCTTTGGTTGTTTGTGAGTCCCACTCACCAGCACGTACGAGAATGCCTGATTCCTTTCGACCAACTACACAATGTACTGCCGTGAGTACAACTTGAGGATGTATGAGTGAACCACTGCAGAAGTAACTGTAATTATTGGCATGCAGCAAGGCCACCGTCCAAGGAAATTCACCAAAACCAGCCTCATTGTCGACAGCTCCAGTAATATTGAAGTCAATACCACCCACGTTGCGTATGCCACATCCTTTAGACCGATTAGGACGTTCTTCCTGCGGTTTTGGTGTGAGACTACCGCGATGCTGATTTTGACTGCCGCAACATACATCCAGGAAGTGTTCACACACAGGATCGTCGGCGCCGAAGCGCAAGTCGATCAAACCGAAACCATCAAATTCGCCATCCTCAACTGGTGTAGTTTCACTGCCCGTGGTTGGATCACACATGTGATAAGGTACGCAGTTACATGGTGCCTTGCCACTTATCGAATTGAATTCTATTTGCGGTTGTGAACCATCAACTGGTTCGGGCGTAACAACCCGGCCGAAACCTGTGCCGGTGCTTTGTACAGGTATAGCGGGATTTTGTGAAAAAATATCCTTAATAGTCTTATCCAAGTCAGCATTTGGTTGTTGCGGGCTGGCGTGGCTGTGCAACAACACGCTTGCAATTATGCTCAATACAAATGGCAACCGTAACATATCTGCGAATAAAATCACAAAAGTGGGGAAAGTATGATTTCAGAAAAGTGCAGAAAGAGAGTTTATGAAATGTTTATACAGTAATAGTTCTATTGAGAAACGAACGTTCCATCGCAAGCAAATATGGGTTTTGTTAAAAGCTTGAACGTACATTAGTACATACATAGACATACAAATTTAATTGTTGCTGGATTACCAAGAAATTATATGCATTATTCGATTTACTATCACTATCTGAATTATATTTCAATATCCAAGACTCCTAAAAGACTTCCATCTAAATTAAATAAAAATGTAAAGAAATAGCAGCGTGACGAGCTTAATCGATAGTTTTTCAGTTTTTGAGATATCGAACTGAAATTTAGCACACGCCCATTTCTCCCCAAGAAGCTGTTCATTTGTCAGAACCGGCAATATCGCTCAACTACAGCATACAGCTGCCATACAAACTGACCGATTAAACACCAGTGCTGTATGGAAAACTTTTTTAATTAACAAGATTTCTTCCAGAAATTTTACTTAGTTTATTGTCCAAGTCAATGAAACAATCTCTGTACAAATTGTTTAGATCAGACCACTATGGCATATAGCTGTCATACAAACTGACCGATTAAAATCAAGCTAAAGTTCTTTTTATGTACTTTTATGTTATAAAAAATGCACCTGTGAAGGGTATTATAACCACGGTTTATATTAATGTTAGTGTATCGTTATATATAATTATTATACATTCTGAAATATACATGTGTATATAAATATTTTAATTTAGGCATGCTCTTTAACTTTAGGTATTTTTTCTACTTTTCAACTAACCAATCAGATAAAGAATATTGTGTTCTAATCAATAGACACTTTTTAAATAATTACTTTCAGCCCTCTTAAAAACAAATTCCTCACATTTTTAATGTATGAATAAATGTATACAAATAAATATATTATTTAATATATTTTTAACACGAAAAAAACGAAAATGAGTAAATGTTTAAATATTGGTTTCAAATTAACCTTAATTGATAAAAAAAATCAACCGACAGAGAGATATTTCGTTATGCCAAAATAATTGTTTAACAAGCAAGTTGATTTAATTGGAAGCAAAAAACCGCAAAAAACCGTAAAAACCCCCAATTTCGCTGACGCATTTGTGAACCTGAAGATGATCTTAATGATGCTTTAACACACTCATTTTGCATTCATGTTAATTGCACCGAACATATTAGCGCCAAAAACTTGGATATTTTGATGAGAGCAAATGTAGTATCGAAAGTATCTACAATGAAGTCGGTTTCTCGCATTAAATTTTAATTGCAAAAGCGTGTATGTACATAAGTATGTGTGTATCTTCATTGTGTGCGTGTGAACAAGTGATTTGACAAACGATGTCATTGGATTAGTGGGTTATTCCCATATAACTGTAAATAGTTTATTTGCAATAACAATACTGAGCGAAAAAAAAAATTATTTAATATATTTAACTCACGAAATTGATAAGGAAGCTCAAAATATTCACATTTTCGTCAAGGTCGAGCTTTAATAACCATTTAATACAAATATTGTGCGTTTTTATGTTTCAAAAAATTTCATCACTTTTTTTTAACAAATGCGGCATATGACTTATTGCTATAACAATAACTGTGGTGTTTTTTTCACTTTAATTGTTATAGAAATTACTGCATACCTGTATTAGTAAATACTAAATTTATATATTAATAACAAATCCTTTTATTAACAGTCGCTGGGCGCACTCAACGATTCAGTGGCTAAAATCAAACTGATTTCAATACTTTGCGTACATTTAGGAAGTTTAAAAATCAACACCTCATCTATCTATCTATATACATACATGCATACATACGTGTACATATACATATACATATGTATGAAAACATGTTTACAAAAATCTCAGTCGCAGGCTACTTGCAATTCGCTCTAATGAGTAAAGTTTAAAACGTGTTTCTTGAACTTGAATCTGTACACATTTGAAAGGGTGATATGTGTATAACTGTTAATCGGTTTTTATGTGCTTATTGACGTGCAGTTTTAAAGTTTTACAACGATTGTAGCTCATTAGTTTACGAGCACCCTGTATTTGTTGATTAAAATCAATTTCTCACACTGTGTTACTATTAAGAAAATACGCATTTTCGCTTTAGAAGCTTACATCGATTTTTGATATTTCCTCTACCATGAATTAAACCTACATTGCTCTTGCCGGATAGGCTCAATTCTCCTTACCGTACTCAATTTACATAATCTACTATAGTGTTGAAATAGCTTTGCGATATCAGTTCTATCACCTCATACACGCAACTAGTAAAGGTTAGAGAAGGGAAGTTCGGGGTTTACCCGGTGTTCTGCAAAAACGTTTTGCAAATTTTTTTTCCAACACTCCACTACAACCACGGGAGCCCCGCTTTTCTCTCCACGTTGGTGTATACAATTAAGCTTCAAGCGGTCTTTAAAAAACAGAAAATTGTATCAAGGACAATGGATATATCGACCGGATCGATGTCAAGACTTATTTGAGACGATCTCCGCATGAAAGTCTTTCGTCGGTCAAATGGTCATCATCTCACAGTGCGCTTGAAGCAAATTAGGCTCAACAGATACAAGCGACTTCTTCGATGTAGAATATGTAGAAGGAAAAGTTTGGTGGGGAGTCTCCTGTAAAAGCGTGTGTAATCTTCAATTCTTTATAAAAAAAAGGCTTAAAACTGGGACAAAAACAGTGGTTTGAAAGCAATTTTCCTGGATTCATAGTTTCTGATGACAGGCCTTCTGGAAGTTAAGATTTGCAGCCATTGAATTACAGTTGGTGACTAAAGTTGGACAACATAGCCTGTCGAATACCACACACAAAATTGAGTCTCAAAAAATTGTTGGTTCGAGCAATGTCGTCAATACCTTGTGTGAAAGCAATACTATATATAACTATTTCGAATAAAATTTTGTGTATCGCTCATTTAATATATGTGTTATTAAATAAAATTAACTTATAGCGGTCTGAACTTATAACAGAACTTACGGCAGAACTAAGTAGTTTAATATATCTGAAAATAGTGTGCATTGGTTTTTTAAATTGTTGCACAGTGTAAATAAATTATCAGTACGTGCCGGTTTAGCTCTTAATCTGTCAGTTCCAGTTCAGGCTCCGATAACTACTTTCTTGATTTAATTTCAAAATATTTTTTTTGTTATTGCTTCTTCTCATTGATTCAAGTTTCTACCGTATATTCATATGCACATATAATATGTATGTATATTTATACATGCACACAAGTAAAAAGTCATGGGTCCACAGCAATTTTATTTGTGCTGAAAAAAGAACAATTCATTTATTTTTTATTGTTATTTTTCTCGTAAACATTTTAAATTATAAATATTAATTTTTATCTCAAGAAAACGATAAGTTTATTCATCAGAGATTTCACCATATGCATATCCAGTGGACGCTTTAGAATATCTTAAAGCCGAGCTAAGCTGTTATTCCCTCTGCCACACTTATTATAACGTAATTTACTAAGGCAGTACTAAAATTTATTCGATAAATTCGTTTCCGCTGTTAATGAAATGCAACTCTGTTAGCAAGCGTACTTCAACTGTCACTTTGACATTTCACCAAAAAATACAAAGCAATCGTGAATTTCATGTCACCGCTATTTACCATTTTCTGCTGAAATAAACATTTTTTCGGCTTATTAGCATTTAGCAAAATATAGTGAATAAACTGAAGTACTGATCATAAATACAAAAGTAGCAGCTCATATATTAAAATGTTTTACCATGTAAGTAAACTGAATTATTTTATTATTGGGGTTATTTAAATGTTTTCTTTTAATTTTCTAGATCTCACTTGAACATGAAATTCTCTTACACCCGCGTTATTTTGGGCCACAGTTGCTGGAGACTGTAAAGCAGAAACTTTACACCGAAGTTGAAGGTACATGCACAGGAAAGTATGGTTTCGTGATAGCGGTGACAACAATCGACCAAATTGGCTCTGGTGTTATACAGCCGGGTCAGGGATTTGTGGTGTATCCTGTAAAATACAAAGCAATCGTTTTTCGGCCATTCAAAGGAGAAGTATTGGATGCCGTTGTGAAACAAATAAACAAAGTAATTTCATTTAAACGAAAATTGTGGGCAATATTAAATAATGTATTATGGTTTTATGCAGGTTGGCATGTTCGCAGAAATTGGACCACTCTCTTGCTTTATATCACATCATGTAAGTGTTAAATAAATAGTAGTTGAGTAGTGGAAAATGTATCCGCTTTTCTATTGCAGTCCATCCCAGCTGATATGCAGTTCTGCCCAAACGGCAATCCGCCGTGCTACAAATCAAAAGATGAAGATGTGGTAATTTCGGGTGAAGACAAAATACGTCTAAAGATTGTTGGTACACGTGTGGATGCGACCGGCATTGTAAGTACCAATTGAATAATGATAATGTTAAAATAAGTTGTAATAGTATTTCATTTCCAGTTCGCGATCGGTACACTTATGGACGATTACTTAGGCTTAGTGTGCAGTTAATTTCTTCGTTTATTTCTATAGTAGTCGGAATATTCTTATTTTACGAATCTGTTTAACTGTGTCCATAATTATTATAGTAAGCAAATGCTTATGCATTTGTATGTACGAAATACATGTAAAATTAATTGAATTTAAAGATAAAATAACCGTTTAAATAGATATTTATATTTTAATATTGCGATTTTTTTTTTGTAATATACAACATACATACCATATACATATAATAAGTTAAATATGAATTTCAAAAAAAAAGTATATTAAATTATAAATATATCTGCAATTTAAAAAATTGGCATCTTAAAGAAGTAAACTTGATTGATACACATAGTATTTAAAGGAATTATATAACATACATATAGATATTTCAATATTATAATTATATACTATAAATGTACTGTTATTTTAATTTGACTAAAAAATGTTTGTAACAACTTTCGAGAGTCACTTTACTGATAAGAAGCGTTATTGAAAGCATACATAATTATGAATTATGCTATTTTAAGTACATCGGTATTTAAAAGTGAATATGCATATTCAAATACTTTCTCGCAACTTTATAACTTAACAAAAACTTACTATTACGTTAATTAATTAAAGTTTGCTCACTACATTTTACTAAAAGAAATTAAACTCATATACAAATGCATTAATTGCCATTACGGCTTTGTTGCTATAAGACTCACAAATCCCACGAGAATAAATGGTGCTTTACCAGCATGTCACGGACACCATCTTTAAGTGGTTGTGACTCCTTGCCTCTTTTCGGCGGTAGTTCCCAGTCTGGATTCAAATTGAAAGCGAATTGTGAAAGTATCCGAAGCTCACATTTGATTTGCACCCAGCCCGGCGAATCAATATAACTCCAGGGATAATACCACTTTTGTACAACTTCCTGACATGAACACAACACTTCCAGCCACAAATGCAGCACCTGTTCATTCAGTCCAAGGCATATAAGTGAGCGTAATTTGACATCCATTTGGGCATGCGCTTCATCGTGTGATTGATTAACTGCCTGTACGCAGCGAAATAAGAGCTCTTCCGGAGTCAATACTTTGCCATCTTCATCCAAGCGATACGTCTTACATAGCACTAAGCGACTGTAAACCGACTCGAAATCTTTTTCAACTTCACGAGTTGCTGCTTCTTCGATGAAAAGCCATGGATGTATTGGACCACCCAGAAACGATGGTCTTTTCATGCCATGTTCGAGGAAAGCTTTAATCGATGGCGCCAATGTACCACGCACCAAATCTGTCACAGTTTCAGAAATCGCATCGTCGCCAGCCGAAGTGTATAGTTTACTTCGCTCGTCTAGCAACTCGACGAATTTGGCTGGGAACCAGCCGCGGAGGCCATTCAATTCCCCCACCCAACAGTGTTCATCCTTTTGACTAATTATCGTGATGATGTCATTTTTACGGAAGCCCAGCTCATCATCATCATGACGTTCAAAATCGTGTAACGCCTTGGCCCTTCTTTTCCGTCGACGCGCCACATTAATGAAATTTTCATGATCCTTCGCATGCGAATCAGTACTATAATTCGCTGTCAATTGTATGAGTGCTGACAATTTCGGTTCAATGGTAATGAAGTGGCGCGCTACCTTCAAAATTGCCTCACGTAAGTCTACCAGAATTTCTGTCTGTCGTATATTCTTATTTTTCAGTTCTACAGAGTCTGGCTCGCCACGAAATAGCAGAGTTTCTAATATAGATTTGCTTTTTCGCACCTGTCGACGAGCTAAATGTTGCTTGGGTAGATTCGGGACTGCCTCAGGATTACCCACAAGTCCACCTTGGTCTGCCATAAGGTAGGCAAGATGTCGTCGGCGATGCGTGTCAATGACAGTTTGACTTAAAGAGCCACCCACCTCAAGTGCTTGATGAAAAAGTATCTACAAGTACGTTAAAATTTTAAAACTTTCAGATTATTCTCAAACTGTGCAAACAAACCTGCACGTCATCAACTTCGCCAGGTATATCAGATAATGAGTTGAATATTTGAGCGGAGTTCTCAAGATTTTGTAAACCCGTTTCTTTCAACTTCAGCATACCCAATGTGAGTTGAAAGAGAACAATGCTTCCATCATAAAAAAACCAATCCCAAATGCGCACCAATATCTTCATATGCACTACATTCGCGAATAGTGTCAGAAACCAATGTAAAGTTATTAGCGATAACTCGATGTCATGTTTCTTCAGTGTTTCATCAACTGATGTTAGATAATTAGCAATCAGCGTTTGCATCACACGTTGATCGGCTTGTATGCCCAATAACGTTGAGGAATAGTACGAAGCGGGTAACAAATCTTCCACTATGGTCGCCATCATCCAGAAAGCATTTTCTTCCTCCATGAAAAGCAGCAAGCAAGCGGCTATGACACCAGTACCTTGACAATAACCAATATCTGGAAAAAGCCAAGCAATGCCGCGTAGTATTCGGCGCAGACGTGGTATTCCTGTGCCATGTGGGTTGCTGAAGCACGCATTTGTTGGTAATATACGCAAGAGATCTTTCTCAATTTGTTTTGAGGTCATAAGTTGATCGTTTCCTGAGGCTAATCAAAGAATGCGTTAAACAAATATTACTAAAAAAAAATACAAATAAATTCATTGCTGCAATTTTTCACCTTTAACAATATCGTGATAACTTGTTTCGCTTTTCTGCTTTTTAGCCAATGCGCCAGATAATCGCATCCACATTTGCGCTCGTAATGAGTGTGGTATACCTTCACGCACCATAATTCGTAATTTTTCAGTACGCGGGAGCATAACATCCACATTTTCCCAAGTTAATTCAGTAGCCTCTTTGTTGTGTGAAAATTCTAGGTGCGCTATCCACTGTAAACGTTGTTGGGCATCTTCCACGAATGGTTGGGAAAGCAATTTGTTAGAACTTTGTTCTGGACCATCTTCCTCTTCCACACGGAAACCAAATTCGTCAAAACGATAATCTGGTTGATCGTTTGGACCAGTAGGCTCTGCCTCGGGTTGGCCCAGCTTTGCAAGTATCTCTTGCGGCCACATTGATGGCGTTAGAGCAGAGAATGGACCACCGGGACTTGGTCGTAAGCCATCTACCACACACAGTTCTTCCATCATCGGTGGCAGTTCATCTAAGTTGTCATCTTCCGAACAGTTGGTCTGCAACTTTTTCTAATCACGATTCATTTTAATTTTTAAAAAGAGAAAGATGTAGATATGATAAGCAAAGTTGAATATGTGAGGGGAAGGAGCTGCAAATTGCTTACAATATGTTCCTCGCGTCCAACATAACCATCGTGGCCTCGACCAAAAAAACTTTCCATAGTTTTTTATTAATGCCTGGCAATGGCGCTATTATTTTACGAATTAGATTTTTCCTTCACTTTTATCAATTATTAACGAATATTTTGCAAAAACTAATGATTTCACTTTTCTCGATAATAATAGGACAGAGTTTTTGACACTTGTGGGTGCCTTGTTGACATGGGTTAATTGGTTAACAGTGTTGGAAAATAATCATTGAAATAATAATAACATAATAGGAAAATAACAGTAATTCTTTTTTGGGACTTTAAAATTTTCTCACTTATATCAATAGTAAGAATTAGTATTATCGTTAAATGCTTAATTATGTCTAAACATATTTTTATTTTGAATAACAAATGTTCAAAACTACTGTTTTGATTTTTTATCGAAAATATATGCCATTCAGATTAAAATAAATACTATAGGTTTTCAGGCAAAAAACTTTTTTAATTATTGAAATGTGTTTACTAATTTTAGTCTTCGTTAATAAATTTAATTTCGTCGTGACATATGAATTTAATAAACAAGAACGGATTATGCCATCAATAACCCATCGTTTTCTAAATGTGTAATAAATGCAAAGCCTGGTATTTTATGCCACCCGCTCTCTGTTTATTTATTTATCTATTGTCAAACACAGCTGATAGAAAGGGGAGAAAGTTTTGTCTGCGTTTACAAATAAATTTGGATGGGTAGACATAACTTTTTAATTAATAAATTTTGTACTCGATAATAAAATAAAAGTGTGCATAAATATGAATGTTAAACCAATAATAACGTGTAAGTTTGTAAATGTAATAACATTTGTTATCCTAAGAATTAATATTTATTATTAAAGATTCGGGAGCTGGGCCATTATTTCGTTCATTGGAAGCGCAAATTCTTAATGCTATACCATTAGATACTTGCGAATGGAGACGTACATTTCATCGTCCCACCAAACAAGTGCGTTTAGAAGCACAAACGCAGCCTTTCAACGTAAACGTATTGGAAAAGTATAAAAAAGGAGAATGGAGTATATTGGAGCACCCAATTTTACACATATTCGTTACTGAATGCAATGTATTGAAACCAATTAGTTTTGCACTTTCGCCCTTATATAAAATCCATTTTATTTTTGTATAGGATTTGGACACCTATAAGGCAAACGCACATGAAGAAATAAAAAATTGGTTAAAGCAGTTGACAGCATTTGGTATTTCTGATTGGATGATATTATTAGTGGAGACCTTGGATGTGCGTAAGGCAAAAAACTTATTACCACGTACTACAGTTTTGGATAAAATACGACAAGATTTTGCTACGAAGAATGATGATCGTTGCATCTCTGTTCTAAACCCTGCGAAATTCGAACAAAAATCTGCTGAATCTTTTCGTTGTTTAGTTCAACGCATCAGGTTAGTGAATTTTTTTTTATAGATTAGAAGTTTTCTTAAAATTTTTGACTTCACACTTTTGTCTATCAACAGGTTTTTAATGCTCGCTAGTTACAATCGTAATATTGCTAAATATGAGGAACTCATACGAAGTAGGCGAGAAAAACGAAATCATGAAGGTTGGGACTTTCGGCAATATTTCTTTATGCAAGAAGATTTAGCACTTACATTTGAGAAACTTGAATTACACACCGAAGCTTTAATACAATATGATGAATTGGACGCGATGTTCTCCCAATTTATAACTAACTCTGGTTTTGGCGAAAAACAAAAATGTTTGGAATACTTCAAGCAACCATTATGTTCTTTTCATGGTATTTGTTTAAATCGGCGAGATAAATTTGAAATACGCAAAAAAATTAAAGATAACCCCGTATCCATATTGGAATTTCGAAATTACCTTTTCGAAAGACAAGCGCATCTTTTGCAACAAAATAATGAAACACCTGAAATCGCTAGAAGACTGTTAAATTTCTTATTTTCTACATTACGTGAAATAGAACTTGTCAAATTAGATACTCCGGAGGGTGCTCTATCATGTTGGGAATTCGTATGTGCTTTGGAAGTTCTGCAAACTTGTGAGCAAGCAATGGAACCGACTGAAGTTGTTTGTTTTCAACATTGCGCACCAATCTGGAATCTGGCAAAGGATAAATTATACGAACTGGGAAAATTGTGCGGTCTACTGCCAGGCTTTACGCCTACTTCCCAACAGTTGCACATCGTTGTACAGTTATCAGCGGGTATTGGCGACTCGCCGTTAGAGCAGTCGCAGTTCTTGAATCCCACACCGCAGATTTCAGAACAAAAACGCGACCGCTCCCCTAATCGTCGGCCTAAGAAATCAGCAACAGATCAGTTGAAAGAAGCTTTAGGATCTAATCAAGCATTTGAAAAACTCTATCTAGAATTGGCGGAATTGGCGATTAGCACGTACAAACACGTTTCACGAACTCGTTCGGCCCGACTTGTGGGTTTGGACTTGGGTAACTTTTATTGCGCACTCAATGAGCCACACAAGGCGGTTGGTTTCTTTACTGATTTGTTGCGCGAATTAAAGGCTGAAAATTGGCACACATTAAGTTCGCAAACATTGTTGGAACTAGCTAACTGCTACCGCAAAATGGGCGACTCGTTGGCTTATACGAAAACATGTAGTTCAATTTCTTGTTGCCAAGAACTGGAAATGCTCGTACGTTCATTTTATTTCGATGAGTTTCTCAAATCGGTGAAGACAATGACTACTTCTTTATCTGCACAACCTTCAATGGAGAATGCCAATTACTGCGTGCTGGAAGATCATTTTCGCATTTGTGATATTAATGTACTGAATGCTGAACCCATAATACAGGATGACATAGTTTTAGTGCAGTTAAAACTGGAGAGCTTGTATCCGCGTGAAGTAGTGGCTGAAAGCATACAATTGTCCTACGAGATGCATGTCGCACCACTAACTGGTGAGGTCACAGCGCCACCTTCCATGGTGTTGGTTAGCGGTACAAAAGACGGAAGACTTACTAAAGCACCAACAGCATCGCCACTCAAGGAATCGCGTCTGAAAATGACACTACGTTTAGACTACAAACAAGATAATACTCTGGATTGCGCGTCGGTAGCATGTGAGCTGCTCAAAGTCAAACAACCGGTGCGTCGTACGAGTAGCACCAAACGCAAGCTATCACCCAGTGTCCAGTCGGATTTTACGAATTTCGTAGCAACTGAAAACATCGCTATACAACCTGGCACTAATATAATTGAACTGAAATCGAAAGCGACACGCGTAGGCACTTGGGATTTCAAGCAGGTATGTTAATTGTTATATCTATTGGCGAATATCGTATCGTAGAAGTAATGTCTTTATGTTGATTTTAGATGCGCATCTCTATATCTCAATTGGAATTCTTCTCCGAGCACCTGCCCTTCAGAGTACCACCATTTGTGATCACTACTAAACCGGCTGCTGCGGTGCTCAACTTCAAGAACTTAATTGCAGGCATTGAGCAGCCGATTCGCCTAACGGTTTCAGGTGGCAGCTTCATTTTTCCAGCTGATGCCAAAATAACATTGAAATGCTCAAAAAATCTGCGCATACGCATGGCTCGTACAAAGGAAAACAGCCAGCCACTTACTGACAAGGGCGCTGTTCTTCAGGAAAACAGCACGGACACAATACCTAATACTACTGTGCAAGATGATTCTACATTTAACAGTATTCTGCAAGTGTCTTTACCCAATTTCAAGTCTTTTGAGGAACGTGAAATCCCATTAGAAGTGCTAACCGATTTGCCTGGTCGCAAAATATCTAAACATTTGGAGCATTACGTTACACTGACCTGCCCTTGGTCACGCAATGAGCTGCAGATTGCGATTGATTTTCAACCAGCGCTTGAGGCTCAATGTCGCCTACATACGTGTGGAACGCAAAAGTTTTTGCATGTCGTTATGAAGGGTCTAGAAGCGAATTTATACCTAACCGAAGCTAAGGTGAAGTGTGATGTGGCGGGCGTGCGTTTAATCGATCTGAATCCACCAACGCAGTCACGTGTTGTATGCGTCTTACTTATGTACATGTCTTGTTTATGTAATTAAAAATTAATACCTTCTTCTTCTTGTAGCAAATCTACAAAGGTCTGACGGTTTCTTATCTATATGAAATTCAAGTGGAGCCTCTAAAAGCAGAGGTAGAGCTACCTGCAGTCATCAAGGTGCATTTTTTAACAAAATACTCAACGGTCGAAAATCCCCAATTGTTACGCAACTACGGCTGCGCTTTCGATTTAGTGGATTATACAACACTTTTTAAAGTGCAAACACAACTTGAGCCGAACGAACTGTGTCGTTTACGTTCAGTGTGTAATTTAAATTTGAAAATTACCAAGGTGCATGAAAACCCCTACGTGGATCTTATGTACGAGGTGCTGAGTGATCAGAATTTATGGGCCGTTTGTGGGCGTTCCGCAGGTTGGTCATATTTGATATGTATTGGTTATATTTGCAGTATACTTTTTTAATGGCAGAAGTAAAGGAAATTGTTCAGTCAAAAATATAATCTGTATTAAAAAAAAAAATGATAATCGCTTGAGAAAATCATCATAAGAAAGCCCATTTTGTGGTATCCATTTGCACTTGCATGAATCCGATTGCACCGATGTGTGCGTAGCATAAGTCATCGAATCCTTTACTTTGCCGTTATATGTATATATATAATATATATATATGGTATGTGTGTACATTAATTTCTTTTATATTAATGTTTAGTAACAATTTTTCTTTATTTTAATTTAACTTTTACGAAAAGTATGCGGTAAGTAACTAATCTTTTAGTTTTATATTTAAAATACCCCATGTCAAATTTATACACGCTCTTATAAAATATAACGTGCTTTTATTTGTACCGTTACAGGCGTCGTTTCGATGAAAGATGTGAATAGTCATTCGATTTCCTTGGATGTGATGCCATTAAGCACGGGTTTTCTACCAATGCCAAATATACGTTTGTCCTGTTATACAGCTGGTGGCAAAAGCAAAACTGACACACATTCCAAGGTGACACCATTTCCACAAGGGCAAGTATACAATAGCACCAAAAGTATGCAGATACACGTTATAGCCAGCAGCAATGGTGAACAATAGAGTTAAATGGGAAAAGAAAACAAAACAATGAATATTTACAAATTACTATAATTTTATTCAAAGGCAATCTGTGAAAGTATTATTGTTGCAATATTTTGGAAAAAAATAGTGTTCGTACTCATAAAAAAAAGAGTTTGTTTAGTAAAACATAATTGCTAGAAAATGCTAATTTTTTGCTAAACTAAGTGATGTACTGAAATTGCATACTCTTACTGTAATTTAGAAAGTTCGCCCAGACACTTATATAATTTGATAGTATGTTGCTAAAACAGTTAAAAAGTCTGATTGTATTCACAAGTGAAAGGTAGCAACATTGGACTTATAAGTGACATTCCTTTTGGAGCTTTCTATATTTCAGTAAAGTGCTGCTTTTACAATTTAATATTATATTATTACTAATAAATACATTTTCGAAGAAACTAACGTTTTTCCCAACTTTTAGTTAAATAAATTTATAATTAGGAAACAGTGCGCATAAAAGTTGAATATTATTTTATTGTAAGAGCGCTATAATCCATTGGCCAATTTCTCGATTTTTTCACCATGCAACCGATAAAAATGCCATTCCTCACTCTCGGTCAAATCCACAGCACCCATTCTATTGTAGAATTTTCGCGCTGGATTCCAGCCAAGCACATGAAAATCCAAACGTTGACAGCCATATTCCTTCGCTTTTGCTGCAACAGAACTGAACAAATAAGCGCCGGCACCCATCTTACGATATGTGGGTCGTACATAAATATCTTCAAGAAAATATGATTTCCCTTGCCATGTTGAGTAGGAGTAGAAACAAATACTATAACCTATGGTCACGCTGTTAAGGCAGCATAAGAAAGAAAAATTAGAAAACTAATACTACTTAAATAATTAAATCTGTGTTAAGAATATATTTCCAATTGAATTGGTATTGCTGTGAGTAAATTTTATTTGAGAATTGTTGAAATGTATGCAGAACTTATCAGTAAACAAACAGTGGTACATAAATGGAGAAAAATATGCTGAAATGTACAGACATACGAATATATACATATATTGGTGCATGTGTGCGTGAATTGCTTTTAAAATTGATACATTTTGTTTTAGCTTATCGGTGTCTAATGGCAAATATTTAAGGTGGACTATGTCATCGGGTATTTGTGCATGTCAACCTTGGGTGCTTATGTGTAAACAATAAAAGCATGCACATACATAAATATTTCGGTGTCTACATATGTATATTCTGCGTGCAGGTGATTAATTTGAGTTGAGAACACAGTGGTTTTGGTACGGAATAACTATTGGCCTATAGAAAATTGATATAATAACTATATATCATTAATAAAGGAATTAATGAGTTGTGCGCATTTTCTTTAAGACTACCGAAGCTACTAACACAAGTTTGCATATACATATATATTAATAAAAAAATTCCAGTAAGTCTTGTCTACAAATTACTTACGGTGTGGATTGTTCTGCGCTTTGAAGCTCGAGCACATATATATGACAAAATTCTTGGCCACCATCGAGTCCGGCATCGCGTATTAAATCTAATAATAATTAAAGGAATATTTTACAGCATTTGTAAATATGTATGCATGTATGCATATAGTCAGGCTTAAATGCATATGAGTAAAATACATTATACCTTTCTCTGTTAGTTTTGGACCATCGCTCATGTTTTCGAAATCAGCCAATTCCTAAAGGAAGAAGAGATGCATCACTAACTTGCCAAACCTACATGCAATTTCATATTAGCAACAAATCCGATTTACTTTCAAAAATTTGTCATCGTATTATTCTATACCACCGCACCTGTATCATTTCACGTACAGCGCCGATATCATCAATTTTTGCACGTCTAAAGGTGAATATTGGTTTGGTCGCCATCGTTCTTTCTCTAAATTACTATTTTTATTTAAGATTAAAAATAATGCACTTCTTTGCTTATTACCTCTAGGTTTCCTAAAGATTTGCTTATCAGAAAAGTTTAGTTAGACTGACATGTTATCATTGGGCCGGTCATTAAGTCCACTTCAGAGTTGCCATGTCAAAAGTTTTTTCTGTAATATTATATTAAAATTAAAAATAAAAGTGGTTAACTCAAAAATTATTGTTTTTTTTTTTATTAAATTGTTGGTAGCGGTATTTTATTCAATAAAATGTACATAAACAAAATTATATGAATTAGCAACAAAATTCGATAAGCGACAATAATACTCTATAATATTGGTTTGAAACAGATTGGGCATAAAAAGCAGCAGAAACTGTTTCTACACACTTAGAAAAAATGAGCTTGGTCGGTCTAACAGCGATATGTACTTAGTCCTTTCGTGTATAACTTCTTACTGATATCCATTAAATTTTTCTGTGTTGGCGGCAATAGGTGTGTAACAAATCGTTATTCTGCTGATCATGCGTGCGTTTTTTAATTGCTGTGTTGAGTCCTTCCATTCTTTGACTTCACCTATACTTCATCACATCTCATATTGAAAATCTTTTCAAAAACGGTTGTGTGTTCTCAATTTGGGCTTTACGTATAATTTTCAAAACGTATGTATGTATGTATATGATACAGAGACTGCGCTAGTATGACTTATGCATCAAATTGCAGTATCATCGCATTTAAATATGTACATGTTTGTAAGTTTATGTGTGTATGTATGTTTTTGAGCACTGATTTGTTATTTTAACTAAGTCATTATGGCAGCATAAATCAGATTTTTGGAATGGAAATTAAATCACTAAATGCAACAAAGTGAAATAAATAAATTTGTATATACTTGTATGTATGTATGTTTTCTTATTTTCTTATCGCTACCACCAAAGACGAAGGCAGAGGTGTAATAGGGTTGCGTTATAAATGCAAAAGCATGTAGCAAGTGTGTATGTGGATATACATATACCATACATATATATTATATGTACAATACAAGTGTACGTACTATGTATTTTATGTAGACATTGAGTATATTTTGTCGCTTATCGCATCAACCGCGTACTCGTTGGTTGGTTGTCAGTAAACATAAGTGACCTTTTCACCAGCAAGCCAAGTTATTTTCTGTTTTTGTTTTTATGGCAGAACATGTATGTCTCATTGTCAATAATAAGTGTATTAAACGCTACATGCAAACACATATATTTATTTATATACATATTTATTGCTATTTATGTATGTGTACAGACGCATGTGCCAATGACTTGTACAAAGCATTAAAAATAACTAAGAAATAACATAATTTTCCATTTTATGCCGTTAAAGTGTTCTTGCCTTATCTCTATAATTCAGTGTTCCGTTGTTGACGTGCTGACTATTGGCTTCGTATACGCACTTATATCCATATATATATTTTTATATACATACATACATCAGAAATTGCAGAAAAACTCAGTTGTTTAACTAGACCAACAAATTGTTGTCGCGGTTGTTTTATAGCTAATCTTCAGTAACATGGCATAACTGACAAGATATATACCCATAGTGGCATGGCGATCCCTTGTACTCACAGTAAGGCTTTATTCTGCGGCAGGGCATTGTTAAGCGTGGGGTAATTTCTTCCGCGGAGTTGATTTTTCTAAATACAATACAAATACAAATAAATATTTTGCTAATGGAAAATTGTTGGAAGGAGAATGAAGTGAAATATATTAAGAACGGAAAGTTTCCGTAAATTGTAAATAAAATGAAAAATTTCAAATCTTCATCAATATTTATTTTGCCCCCTTCAAAATATGCTCCTTCTGTAGCGATACACATATGCCACCTCTTTTCCAATCATCGAAACGTGCCTTGTAGGTTCGGGTCCGGGATCGCCTTCAGTTCCCTCTGCAAATTTTCTTTTATGGCCTCAATCCAGTCGAAACGGGTTGCACGCAGTGATAACTTGAGTTTTGAAAACAAAAAAAGTCACATGGGGCCAAATCCGGTGAATACGGTGGTTGATGGATGGTATTGAATGAATTTTTGGTCTTAATTCAAATCGTTCATTATACTCTGTAGCGACATAATGTACCATGAAACCAGATAGTTTTCGGAAATTGTTTTTTGATATTCGCGATTTGGTTCATCATGAATTCGTTCCAACGGGACAAACGGTCAATAAAGTGTATTATTTGAGCGTTTTGAGGCGTTTGCGCGAAAACATCCGTCGTAAAGGGCCGGAATTGTGGGCCAATTATTTTTAAAGGATTAGCGGGATTAAAGTTATCAGGGTCTCCCAATAAGTATGGATTAAATAATAGGTTTTTAATTAATATAACAGTTTTATCTATTTTATTTTTATTTTTTATAATAATAAATTTATAAAATATTTAAATTATCTATAAATAAACTAATTTATTTATTTATATATTTATGCTTTATTAAAAATAAATAAACGATATACCAAGTTAAGATTAATAGCAGTCAGCCATTTTTGGTACCAAACTAATTTATGCCATGCAAACATTCTTACTAAGTGTTAGTATTATATTTGATATAATAATCATATGTGTACATACAAATCATTACTAGTTTTTGAGATATCGATCCGAAATTTTGCACACCTCATTTTTCCCATAAGAAGCTGCTCATTTGGCGGACCACTATAGCATACAGCAGCCATATAAACTGAACGATTAACATGAAGTCCTGGTATTTAAAATTTTTTTATTTCACAAGATAACTTCACGAAATTTGGCATAGAATTTTGGCTCGAGCAACGCCACAATCTTCGAATAAATTGTTCAGATCAGACCACTATAGCATATAGCTGCCATACAAATTAACCGTTCGAAATCAAGATAAAGACTTGCATTAATTTTTCGCTTCATTAAGTAATCTTAATTTGACTTGAAGGAGTTGTGTACCATATCAAACAATGTGGCTAAAAAACTAACAACACATTTTCGGTTGGATGTAAATCGTTGTTCGGTTACGTTTACAGCTTTAGTTATACATACGTACATATACTATGTAGTACATAGTTACTATAAGAAATGCAGCTGTGAAGGGTATTATTACTGCGGTGCAGTCGAAGTTAACGAACTTTTTCTTGTTTTTTTTTGCGCTAGTTAAATTTTAGTGAATTAAAATATTCAAACATTAACGCTGTATATGCCAATACCTGTGTGATTCTCTGCCACAGGCATATGCAAGTACATCTTAATACGAGCATAGTGTTTCCATGTAACCTCCAAGTACAAGTGTGAACATACTTATGTATGTTAATCAGTATATTGTTGCACTTGTCGCCGCATCGAGAAATCTTTAAATATATTCCGCTAAGCAAGCTGCAGTCAGTGCTTGCAGTGTGAGTTTCGATGCTTACTTATCAACTTTAGTGCTTATTATTTTTTTCAGATTCGACATATACGTTGTTCAGTGCATGTGTATGTGCACATATGTATTTGTTTCTCCTTCTGTGCTTTTCATCAAATTGCAATTATTTTATTTTTCAATATACATTTTTGTACTGTATGTGTATATTTTAAACGCCTATTTATATTATTTATTGTTATCACTTGAACGCCTGGTCACAGTGTTATTTATTTGTATGTCGCGCCAGTCCGCCGCATGTAAGCCACAGGCCACCAACCACCAGTCACTAGCCGCACATGCAAATAAAAAAAAATGTTTACTGATAACAGCAACACATAACAGAGGCGACAATACTTGGTGCTCTGTATGTAGGTACAGTCCAAGTAACGGTACTGTGACTGCGACAGTAGCAGAAAATTCCTTAGGAACCCGTCGAACATCAACTGCTGGTCACCGTACGCCTCCTTCTTCTAGCCCAACTCACTTTCGTTCTACAGTCGGTAGCCACCGTATAATGGGGGGAGTTTATCTTAAAGATTACTTTATTTCTTCGAACCTTCTGCTTATGGTTGTTGTGGAGAGCATTTAGGAAATCCATCCTTTATACTCCAACAATGTAAATTGGGTGTATGCTTTTTAAAACGAATATATACTCGTACAAACATGCATAGTTAGGTGTACACATGCTTATGTAGATATATGTAAGTGTGTTATCGCTAACTGTTTCGACTACTTACTTACATGCATACTTACATACATACAATTCAATGTGCAATGTCACATCGGTTGATTGCTTGTGACTCCTGTTTGTTATGCTGATGCTGTTACTTTTTTTCTAACTGGAGGCGTGTGCACTGATAGTACAAACTTTTTTGTAGTTAGGTATGTTTGTTAATCCTCTCTTGTTAATTCAATATTTTTCGCTGGCTAGCATTGTTTAGTCTATTTCTTTGGACAATACTATTTCGGCCATCGAAACCGAATGATATGCATACCTATTACATACATTGTATGTATGTATGTATATCAACTTTGTATCAATGGTCTCTCAAGACAAAATCAAATAATAATGGTAAGAGCTTTCACAGAGCTGCGTGCCAGTCAGTGTTTGCTGCCTAAAGCATACCTCTATATTCAGCCTCAATCACCTACACACTGAAAATTTTGAAATTTTTGTGGTAGGGTATTTAAACTTCATTGCAACCGAAACAATTTCATGCTAGTTTTTTTAATATTTTTATCAAACGATTGCACTTTATCTCGCCGCATGACGTCACAAATAATCGCAAATTCATGCACACTTACGTGCATACATATGTACACATGCATGTATGGAAGAAATGTGTGACAACCGTTGATAGTAGACGGAATTTCATTAAGTAAACTGAAGCGATAAAAGCAGGAACAATAAGGCTTGTCGCCCCAACAACAACGCCACGGTTGTAGATTAGACAAGTTTATCGCTTTTTATTACGGTTATCATACGGGCTTGTATTTTCTTTACTTTTTATTATTATTGTTTTAGTGTTACAGTTGTTATTTCATGAAGTACTGTATTTATTTTTGTTTTTATTTTGTACATTTTTTGCACGACGCGACAGACATATTGGCATTTTTGTGAATGGTGGCGGATTGAGAGAAAAATACAAACAACCGTAAGAGTGAATGGAAAAAACTCGGTTGTAAGTATGTGTGGGACTCTCATATTTTTTTTATCAGTGACTGAAGGTCGTTACCGATATCCGATCAGTAAGTGGTTTTGTTTGCGTTGACGGCAGGGGATTCCTACCGGTGATGACTTATGTTTTGAAAAATTCTTGGAAACGGTTTATTTAGCTATTTATTTGAATTGTCTGTAGCTTCTGTTATCTAAAGTCGAATATTAGTATATATCATATTTTGAACTTATACAATTATTGTTTTTAACCAAACATAACTAGTATTCGGCTATTGTAAAGGGTTATTTTTTTTTAGAGATATTGCACTTTTATTTAAAATAAAATACAGAAAAAATATACAAATTTTATTACAACATTATTATTCCACAAACAGAGTTTGCACAGTATTTCGTATTTGGCATTAATTCGGTCGATCCATACATTAAAAGATATAAAATATAAGATAGAAATATAAAACAAGCTAAAAGGAAGGGAACATGTAAAAAATGTGCTCTAAAGTAGCATACTAAAACTCCTTATCGTTCCGGTATGTGGAAAAAATTCACGCGAGGTCCAAGGTCAAACAATGTTTTTTCTCGATTTTCAACGAAACGGTCAGTTTTATCGTAAAATTACCTCAGACAAAATTAAAGATCATAAAATTATCTAATATACAGGTTGGTTGAAAAGTTTCGGATGATTTTTCCAATGATCCTCCAATAATTTTATGC